AGAAAATTTAGGGTTGTAACAGTCTCATAGATGCAACTGATTCCTACGTAAGAAACTTGAAATGAGAGTTTCCCAGGTAAGCTCCAAAGGACTGATGAAAATCCCTCTTGGAGGCCTGCCCATTAGCTCAGTTGTTTTAAGTGACTGCTTAAACACAGCAGTCAGGCTCAGGTTGCTGTGCTTGGATCCCCAGATCCTCAAGGCTTACTAGACCTGCCCTGAAGGCATCCTGAGCCAGCCAAAAAACAAAAAAACCAAAATCCTTCTGAACTTTAAAAAAAAGAAAATTCAATCCAATGATTTACTTCAGTAGTAAGAGAGTTTAAGGTGACTCACTCAACTTAGTTCTTTTAGGAAATTAAATGGGAGTTTCTTGGTCATTCAGCCTGTTCAAACATTTCTCAAATTACTACTATAAGCAAACAAAAAAAGGGCCTCCTCAAAAATGGACTACTTTAATGTTATTCTTAAAAATCAAAACATTCTGGGGAAAAAAATTTAACTGTTAACAGGAAGAACTACTGTTAGGTTCTTTTAGTCCTACTCTTAGGTAGGACTACCAAATCAAATCAAACTTTACTCTTAAGAAAGAAGAAAAATACAATTTTACTTCTATAGAAACTTGGTACAGAATGGAAGAATCATTTAAATTCATAGCTTATTTGCTTTACAAGCTGAAGTCACGAAACAAGAATAGAGTTTTATGTGTATGGATCCTAAGCTCCTGAGTACTGAAAGGTTCAAAAGGAGGGCTCACGTTTCACCAGCTGTGTAAGCGACCCTTTTACACTACATGACTAAAAACATATTTATTCATGGACCACTTATGAGCCCAGGTCTCTGAAGCTGTCAAACCAGGAGAAAAGAGAATGCTTGCACCCATGGGCAGCCACAGAAATCCGTAACAGCTTTAAGAATAAAAATCTCTTCCAGGGGCCAGGGAGATGGCTCAGTAAGATAAGCGCTTGACTGGCAAACTCAAGGATCTGAGTTCAATCCCTGGTTCCGCAAAAAAAAAAAAAAAAAAACTCTTCCACTTCCAGATTAAGGAATAATGAAAAGGAGTCCTGAACAAGTAGTCTTTAAATATTAATATGCACAATAACTTCAGTATATTAAAATGTGTGTTGGGGGGAGTCCTACACATTATTTGGAGTCTTGTCCCAGACCCTGAAACATTCATGTAACTTTAAAAACATATTTTCAGGAAAAGTCTATTTGTTAGTTTTTAAAACCTGCTCTGACAGAATCCCAAACTGAAGTTTTCTAAGAGGAGGTGGGTGACAGAACTGGGGAGAGTGAGTTTCACATGGTAGCCCAAGTTTCTGCCAGTGCAGGGAGCTCTCTACACACTATGTGGGCATGAGCTGAGGATTAGAGAGCCGCACACAGTACCACAGGGCTAATCTACACTAACTGTAATTATGATGAAACAAATTCTATTAACTACGAGAAAAGTTGCCTTTTACCTAACCTAAACATTTAACACTGTTTTCTAGGCGCTTTCCTAAAATATTGTGTAATCAGAATACCTAAAACCAGCCTTTATATATTAGTACCTCAAGCAAATGACTGTCAATTAACTGTCAATGTCAAGAAAAAATATATTTGGAAAACTACCTTAATTCACTTACCTGGCCTATGTTATATTACTTGCTTTAACTATCAGCCAATAAAGTATAAAGACCAAAACACTGTAAACCTTATAGCGTACACTTTCCAAAGTTAAAGGCTTCTAAAAAGGTCCTGAAATCAGGGCTGATTTGGTCTGAAAAACTTAGCTCATTAGTCTTTCATAGCCTTGGATTATTTTTTTTCTAATATTCTAAGCATGATTACAACTTTAGCAGAATCATCTTTATATGGATGAATCAGACTTTAGTTTTTTCCTTTCCCTCTTATAAATACCAAACTTGATTGATATTCATTTCTCAATTATATAAAGTAAAATAACAGTCTCAACACTGAGAAGTCAATGGCATAGTAAATACTTTTAAAAATAGTAAATATAATCAAGAAAGGAACTCAATTTAAATATGCCATACCATAATGCCTATATTCTGCTCCTCTTTTAAATAATTCAAAGTGACAGAAGGGCTCCAAATCAGAAAGCCCACATATTACTTGCAAGAAAAACTCTACAGTAGTGGGATAAGGGACGGAGCAGCTGATAAGGCAGAGCTTTATAAAATTTAATTCCTATGGCTATGTGATTTTTTTAAAAATCAAAATGTAAAACCCATAGCACATGCTGAAGAAAGTGCTGGTACTCAGAATCCTAAATGACCCCTGACAGAATTACAGTCTATAGGTTACTAATATAACAACCATATTTGTGACATTTCTTTGCAAAGAAGGCAGTATTTCTTCAAGTCTGTAAGCCAGTTCTAGAACAGCCACGCAATGCCTACCCCAACAAGAAAAGGGCAATATAAAAACAGCAGTTGTTTTTAATGTCCCTTTTCAGAAACTGTGCCTGGCACCGTGCAGCTGTGGTGCAGCCTTCATCGTGCCCTCTGTTCTCAGTCTTGCTAATTAAAAGGTTGATCACAGAACAATGCTCTTCTCATTAATTTCAGCGTTCCGATTGGGCAGGATCCCTGCTTACCCCACCTGATCTTTTCACACTGCTGAAGTTAATGTGACAGGAGCCTGAAGATGGATTACCCGCTGCCATATTGCCCATCGCCTCCAATCAGGAGCTATCTGTGTAAACTGATTGTTCTAATTTGCTCTCATTATTTTTACAATATCAGGAGAAAATAACGCACACAGCTCACTGTCAAAGCCATGAAAATCAGCCATTAGTTAAATCCAGACACTGAGTGGCTTTATTAGAGAAGCTGCAGTTTATTGATGTAGCTTTAGCCAAACAAGATAGCATTTGCTTCAATAGAAGGAAATATTCACAGTGAAAGTAAATATTTATTTGTGATAATACGTACAGCCAACAGGGTGTTTTGAAGAAAACTGTTCCTATTTCAACAGCTTAGGAGTGAAAGCTCCAGCTGTCATAAGAAGTAGGCAACAGCATAAAATCCTGGCTAGTGAATCTATGCGTACTCTTCACCTCCAAAAGCTTGTGTAAATGAGACCTATTCTGTAATCACAAGCACTAATCAATAAATAAGGGTAGCTCTAACCTGTCGTATACAACCTGTTTTTACAAACGGAGCTAAACTTAGGAGTCAAAATTATCTCTACAAAGAGCATACAGGTACAGTTTTAAATATGATTTTATCCTTACACAACGTAAATTAACACCAGATTGACTGGTAATAGTACCAGAGAAACAATTATCTCAGAAATAGAAAATAAGCACAAGAAAGCTAGCTAAGGAAACAAGTTGGGTTTGAAATCTTTCACTAACTGATGTTTTTAGAGAGCAGAACCCCACAAAGACCTGGCCTTCCACAAGATAATATTAAGAGTTATGCTACACACAAAGAAAATATATTTTCAAGCTGTAAAGAAAACATTACACTTCAAAGAAAGCATTTAAATTTGGGATTTCTAGGCTTGTCTGGCTAAGAGCATTTTGTGAACGTGTAACTAAAAGCTGCCTGAACAGCATTTATGGGGCTGTGGAAGGAGGGTATGCATAATAGAAACAATGCCTTTTAAATAAAGGAATTTAACGAATCCACTTTTCCCTGGGTCTCCTCGTTACTATTAGAAGGAAACGCGGCTTCCTCCAGCTTTCTTTCTACATTACGATTCCTGGTAATGTGAAGGCAAGAGCATGCCCTTCTTGCTGCCACCCTTCTAGTGGCCACTTTCCTTTTTCTAAGAAACGTGTGCCACGCTTCTCTCCTTAAAATTCCTGCACTAAAAGACTGCACCATACTGCACTCTGCAAAACGTGCTGATGGCGCCAATTATAAGCCCCCAGCCGAGAGCTCAGCCCCCACCATTCGTGCAGATTTATGCGGACTCTTGCCGACGTTATTACAAGTCAGAGTTTATTGGGAAATTGTTACATTATGCGGAGTGTCTAACAAATTGCTTATGCTGCTATAATTGGATTACAACAGCCGCTTGCTCCCACCGGTAAGATTAGGCAAGTAGGACTCCTGCCGATCTCTGAGCGTTAGCAGTAATTTTATTTGCCTTGCCTCTCTCTTTCCTAACAACATGCCTCTCTCCCTGCCAGCTGTCTGCTGAAAAGGCACAGGCTTGTTCCTTGGCCCTAACAATGCAATTACAGCCCCGCAGATCGCACTGTTTGTGCATTAAGTACAGAGCCAAAACGAGGCGAATTGATCGTTTGACTTTTGGAGAAGCCATGTGATTTCTCTGTGTGGGTGATCCGACACACATCAGCAGGCAATTCTGATGTCGATTCTCGATGAAGAACTTTCTTCGTTCCCCCTCTTTCCTCTAACCTTTCTTTTTTCACTGAGGAAGATACTGACTGGGCTCATCTCATGCTAATCTAGATCAATCCTCAAAGACAAACTCATTCTTATTAGCTCCCTGGCTGGATAGAAATGTGAATAGGTTCTAGCATATTGAAGTGCCTCAGTCAGATAGATCAGTGGTTCCCAACAGCTGAACCTCAGCTGCTGTCTAAAAAAAGGTTCATAAAGAGTTCACTGAGAAAGAAGTTTACAGAAACATCACAGTTGAAAAAGAACTGCACAAACTTTTAGGTTTTCTAAAAAAACAGCAACAAAACTGCCCTGAAATGGCTTTGTTAAAAGCTCTGCCTATGTTCAAGAGCCATCAAGAGTGAGCACTGAGAGACTGGGCCAGGTGGCACGCGCCTGTAATCCCAGCACTTAGGAGGCTGTAGACAGGAGGATCACTATGAGTCTCATCTACACAGTGAGACCCTGTGCACCCTGTCCTAAATACAAAAAACAAAAGCGTATGCACTGTGCCTTTCTGCACAGATCTGCTCTGCCCGAAGATCTGCATGACCAAGGTGTACAATCGATATAGCTAGGCTGCAGGCTTAAAACAGCCAGTGTGATTCCCCACTGGTAGCAGTTTTCAACACTTTGCTGACAGCTTTCGGTTTCTCATTTCTTTTTCTTGTTAACAATGGGTGCTTGGAGCATGGAGACTGTAAGCTGTTACTCCAATTTTAGGGCATAACTCATGAAGATTCTGGGCTGGGGCCCTGTATTTTTTAGGAGATGGTAGTGGTCCTGGGGATCAAACTGGGGGACTGTCACACGGTAGGCAAGTGCTCTGCTACTAAGCCATACCCCCAGCCCTTCAAAACAAAAACAAAACACAAAGCTCTCTTTTTGTGCTGAAAATGGCTTGAAATTTTATCAGTTTTAATACAGATCAAGAACCCTATCTGCACTTCCCATACCAATGGCATATGCTTGTGGCCGGTTATGCAACACATGAGCAGACAATCCGCTGGCTCCTATCAGTGCCCCATGTCTGAATTACTATTAAAACCCATGGACACCTAGATCTGACAAAAATATACACACACTTGTCTTTAAGGCAAATCTATTTTTCTTTCAATTTAAAGTCACCTTGGCAATCAACTGTGTTTCTCAAAACCTCTGCAATCCAAATAACATTTAATTCATTTAAACATTTAAAGAAAAGTTGTACTCTGAACTTTATTCCTGCTTTCTTCAAACAGCAATAAACATAATGTATAACATGCTACCTTCTAGAGTTTTCTCAAGCACACTGGCCTCAATGACATGGTTAAATCTTACAACGTTCCCCACAAAGCTAATGTACACAGCTGACAGAGGTAGGTGCCTGTGTGAAGAACAGACCATCTGACATGCTACTTGTGGAACAGCATATTAAAGAAGCCTGTTAACATGTAGTTTAAAACTCAAAAGAAACTCTGAACAGCTGAAATGCCTTATAAATAGCACAGACCCAGAGGAAGTGCAAACGTCTGCATTGTGAATTGTAGATCTTAATTACCGACAATGGCTGGTACAGCAAGTAGCACAGAAAAAAAGTGAAACAGTTGCACTGTTCATGGTTAGCAATAATTCTTCAGGAAAATATTTACTATCAATCAGTTATGAGAAAAGGGACTCTGTGCTCGTAAAACAGCACGTTGCTTCTCATACCAGGACCATTTTGCTTCAGCATAATCTGAATTTAAACAGCTTGTTTCCTGCGGATATAATTTTGGAAATAAATAAAACAAGTCTTCTATCAAAATCTGGAGTAAGTGGAAGCAACACCACATTTTTCTGTCTCAGTCAGTTTCAAACAGATTATTAGTCTGAGGTAAAAAATAGTAACAACAAACAACAAATATTGAATATCTATACAGGTCTAGTGATGAGGCTTACTTTCTACACAAAGAGACAGAAAGTCTATCCACCTCAGGAATCAAGGTAGACATACTCAACTCAATTCTAATTGTAATTGTGTATGTTTGTGGGTATGCATAAGGGTAAACTACAGAAAAGCCTAAAACTAAAATTTTAGCAGTACTTCAAGGAATCAATAAAAAAAGAGAACATAAAAAAATTAATTCTGTTCTTCAGTTTTCCAGTTACTTTATTTAAAAAAAAAAAAAAAAAAAA